ATTCACTTCCAGTATCTTAGTACAAAAGGTGCCTGAAAGTTTCCAGAAAGTGTACTATTAAAAAAAAAAAAAAAAAAAAAAAAATCACATTCCTTGCTGTATTAACAGGTAGCAACTTAAAAAAAAATCCCGCGCAATTAAAAAGCAATTTCCTGCCTAAATTGAAATAGGCAAGCACTATAGCAATGCTATCAATGCATTAATAGCCTCAATAAGTACATTTTACAGGTGCAAGAATCATTATGTTAGCCAAATAAATATATGTTTCCCACTTAAAAATAAGATTTTTAGGCCATTAATATTTTCTTATAGATTTGGTTTCTTATTAATGGGCATGTAAAGGCACAGCAAGCACTTGTCTCATCATACTCTTTATGAAATAAGCAGGAAAGCTTCAGAGGTAATGCATATCTTTTTGCCAACAGCGTTTATCGTTTAAACAGATAAACACCACCACAAAACCAGAAAGCAGCAGGCCCGCTCCCCTCCATCACTTGAAATCCCAAGTCCTGGGAGGAACCCTGACTCAGCCCAAAATAATGCAGAAGAGAATCAGGAGGATGCACAAATAAACAAGGCTGTAGTATCAACTTCCACCATTTTGGACTCTAGTCAAACAGATCAAGGTCTTCCTGCTCAACTTAACGAAAGCCTTCGATGGGATGGGATTCTTGAAGATCCTGTAGCAGAGGAAGAAAGGCTGCGTATCTATAAGATGAACAGAAGGAAACGGTATGAATCATATATCCAGCAACATTTGCCCGCTGAGCCATGCCCAACTGTCAGGCATTCCCCATTACTTCATCGCAGGGCGTCATGCACAAGCAGCGATCACGCAGTATGTAAAGAAGATTGCTGCAGTTATTTTCCAGAGGAACAAGTGTGAACTGGTCCTGAATGCTGAACAAGCTAGCACAGTCTCCGAGCTGTAACCAGTGGTATCACCCAAAATCTCTCAGCAAGTTCTGTAGCTTAGTGCTAATTACTCACTGTCTTATATCTGTGTGGAGAACAGGACATTTACATTTTAAAAACAAACCACCCTGTCAGTTAAAATATGGATGCAACTTGGACTACTTCAACAATTAAAAGCGCTCCTTTCCATACTGCCTATGTGTCCTGGAGTGTCCCTAGTTATTGCTATTAGTTTATTTCAAAATAATACTCATCAAAATAAATTACACCTGAGCTTTTCAGGTATTCACACCGTGAATTGCAGATCCTGAAACCAGCAAGCACAGCCCTCATGGCAGATGGGGAAACTGAGGGTGAGCAGCTGAATGACCGGAGACCTTGTCAGGAGGCTAAAATGATTCGCAGGCGCACAAACTTACCTAGTACTTGAAGCTGAGCAAGCTGCAAAATCGGGATTGGAATCCAGTCCTTGCCTCCTGGCTTGTGATCTAATTGTTAGGTACAGGATTTTATTTTGTTATAACAATTCATTGCATCAGACCCACAAGATTTCACATTCTGGAGAAGCACAGCATATATACAAGGAAAATGGAGCGCACCAGTAAGAGTGAGGTTATCCTTGTCATGGTGGGTACTGACTGGAAGCCCATTTGGCCAATATGAATTAAAAATTGCATCAAGCGGTAGGCTGCCTTGTACTCCCCTACTTCAACTTCTCATAATAAATGAACATCTTTCATACAGAGTGTTACTGCACTATTAAGCAGCCCAGGCCACACTAAAGGAACTATCTGGAAGTTAGATGGCACATCGGTAAGGGGAGAAAGCTTTTCCTGAAGCCCTCCTGAAAGATACTGTTCTGATTTTTAAAGTTTTTTTCTTAATGGCTCTTCAAATGGACTTTTATACAGCAACTGATGTTTATATATGGCTTTTCTCCTGTTTAATACTTTAAACACTGCATAATACCGAAGTGCTCGCACAGACTTTCACGGGAACAGCGGCATGCTTCAGAACAGCTTCAAAGCTCCCACGATTCCCATAATGTCATTACATGCAAATCTAGAGCTTTTGCAAGCAGATAACCAGATGAACAATAAAAAGTAAGCAAAAAATCCCATTATGAATTAATTAACTGATATTCAATTGCATCCATTTCTACTCTGCCAGAGATACTAACAAAATCATCACGGCTGCAAATTCAGAAGGGTTTAAAAAACAGATTAAGTATCCAGAAAAACACTACAGCATTTCTCTCAAAACAATAGTTGTAACCATCTATTTTGTTTTTGTAAAGTTTAATGCATAACACATTCTAGTCTTATTTTTATGCTGTATTTACTAAAGTAGCATTTGAGCATCTACATTTTTAACCAAAATTAAGAAGGAATTCCTGTCTGGTTAAATACTTGTTATATTTGAAAAGGATAAGTGCTTCACTTGCAGGATATGCTGAAATCCATACCAGAAACTCTTGTCAAAAATAAAACTATACCAGATGAAAGACTCAAATACTGGAGAGGATTTTCAGCTGTCTTCAAGGCAGTTTTTCAAGTGTCTTACTAAACTGATAAACACACAGCATTTGGTGTTTTGTTTGTTTGGGGTTTTTTGGGTTTTTTTTTAAATACACAGTTTTATATAGGAAACTCCTTCCTAGACTACATAAACAACAGCAACACATGATGCAAGAGAAACAAGAGGGGAGCTGGGATTGGCAGGCTATGTTATGTATTTATTGCTAAGTAAATACCATAATAAACACCAAAAAGCTTTGAATGAAAAATAAAGACATCCCTACATGATGGTTTTCAGATAATTTATTACCAATAAAGTAAAAGACAAATTGAAAATTAGAAGGAGGGGTGGGAAACGTCACAGACATCGGAACACTTGCACAGAGCTAATCAGAGCTTTGCAAATGTTGCAACATAAATAATTTAAAAGCTATCTCTACCAATTAAAATATTTTTAAGAGGTACATAATTAAGTTTGTTTGCTTTATAAAAATCAGGTGCTTTATCCTAAAACCATAGTGTAAGGGTCATTTAATTTCTAATTTAACTAGGGACAATTAATGATTACAACTTAAAATAATCTTCTCTCAGATCTCCTGCAAAAGAATTCATTGCAAGAGCATTGTCGGAGCAATCGAGGGTCCGTGTTCTTCCAGCATCCCGTGTCCAACAGTGGCCAGCACCAGATCTTTCAGGAGCAAGGTACACAAAACTGCGAAGCGAGCCATGATGCAATAGCTTCCCCAAAGAAGAGTTCTGTCTGGTTGAAACCCCGCAGACTTAGGGGCTGAGCTGTGCCTCCTTGTTACACAAGAAGTGTATCTTGGGGCAATGTTTAGGGGAGAATCGCGATATGTATTTAAGACACATCTCCTAAATACTGTAGTCTGAAACCAACATGTTTATTGAGAAGACTGTGCTGCTCTTAACGACTCTGGAGCAATGCCTACCTGACTTTGGCATCCTCTGTCACCCTTGTTTTAGGATCTGGTTTTCTGAGGCAAGTAGCAAGGACTAAGGACATTCTGTTCTGAGCTAATAAATAAGAAAAAAACCAAACCAAAACAACAAAAAACCCAAACCACACAAGCTCAAGCTCTCCTTCCTGCTGCGTTTTTAGTCTCCCAAAACGTTGCAGCTCACACTAGAGTACACTTCCACACTACTCATCGCACTTGCACAAACACACGTTAAGTACAGCTCAAGAACAGGCTCCCGAGTTTCTAACTCACCACTGACAAAAATTCACCCTTGAGGCTACGCACTAGCAAAGTCCTCTTTAAAAGCAGGTCCCTGGCTGATGCTGCACCAGCAGGTGACCTGCACCTCAGAGGAGTTTTGGAATACGTGGAAAAGCCGTGTCCAGCTAAGTCAAGTCTACCAAGTATTTCTGAGCTGCTACACCACGCTAGCCACCAATGTAAGCCATACTCCCAAAAGCAGATGCTCTTCACACTATGCTGCTCTCTGTCAATATAGGGGGAAAAAAAAACCCAAACAAACCAAACCATCTGGGTAATGTAAGAAACCTCTCCATATTATTTTCATCAAAGTGCATGATATACTAATGCACATAACATCCAGGTGGCCTTTCATAGTATCTGAAGTTATTCACTTTGGTCCCCAAACTTATTACACACTCAGGACTGGAGGGGTTATTCAGCAGCCTCCGGACCAGCAAATGCTACCCAATCCCAGTGACATTCTGAATATTAAAGTCCAGAGAGGACACAGACCTTTGCAGTGAGAAGCTCAACAGGGGAGCAGAGCTACAGATGTGGATTTTGCTATGCAATAAAAATTTGCCTGCCCTTTGCTACCATCTACCTCTTCACCACCCCCACCACGGCAGCGTCTCCTTCTCCACTCCAGGTCCCTGCATACACGGCGCGTTTTCTGAAACTCTCCTAGTTACAACTCACTTAGTGCAGACAGAACAACGTCGGTAAAAACTAGGCACTGGTGTTTTTCCACCACCACACTGTCAAGACCTGACTTCCCAACAACAGAGGGCTAATTTTTGGCCTGGTATTCTTCATGACAAGGCCTACCACACGTAGTACACAAATGCTAACAGACTACAGCGCTGTAGAAGTCACTGTCAGTACAGAAGATACATCGCGCCGTTCACCTAAAGAACTTGAATTACCCGATCCTTTCTCTGCTGCCTGGAGCTGCAAAAGCAGTTTATCTCCTGATCTACTCAGAATTCCTCTTCCTTCCAACTCACACCTTCAAACCGGACATGAATGCCATAGGATAACATTTTTGTGGCTGTTAAATGCAGAATTCCAGATTTTTTTCTCTGTTAGCTTTTTCCAGCCACTTCCAGGAGATGATTATTCTAGAGAAAACAGTCTCATGATCTACACTGAAAGGAACGACAGCTCTGGCTATCTGTAACCAAATGACCTGGTAGATTTTCTGCAAGAGAGTGAGCCGCCCTTATTTTTGCACATCACCACAAAGATTCAAATGGATTTCCACCTGCCAGGCACTATTCCACATTCTTTCTTACCTGCCAATTTTTTTTCTCTGGGAAGATGCTTCCCCTTATTTTCATCTGATTACTGCACTGCGGGGAAAGGGAGGGAACTCACAACTTTAAAGGCAAAGAAACAAGTTCCTTGCTAAGTTATGTTCCCACAGAAAACCGCGTTCAGGCCATTCTGAGGCTTAAAGCAGGAATTAAGAGCTGAGGAAGAGGGTCTGTACCCGCTTTAGCTAGTGGACTTAGCACAGTACATTAGATGGGACTGGGATGGATCAGAGCAAGAGAGACAGCCGTCAGTCAGCAACCATCCAGGACACAGTCGTTTCCAAGGTACTCCGAAGTTTCAAGCTCTATGCTGGAGAGGAACCGCCGCGTGGTCTTACGACAGTTGTAATCCAGCGTGGTGGTGTACACAGTCTTGGCGTGCTTCGGGTAGACGATGGTGGTGCTGGTGAAACGCTGGGGCTTGTTGCGGGGCTCGAAATGGACCTCCGTTTTGTAATTGCGCCATGTGCAGTTTGGGACACAGATGACCGTCTGACTGCAAGAAGAAATGCTTAAGCCCACCGGCATATAGATGTCATCGATGAAGTGCTTCTCCGAGTCGTATTTGACTGAGGACGTGTACCTGAAATACAAGACACACATGCGTGAGCTCTGCTCCAGAGCAGCAGGCTGCATTTTCTGGAAAACAGAGCCGTCAGGTGCCGGGGTGGCTCCTCAGCCCTTCCCCTGCCACTTCAACACAGGAACCGCCACATAACACAAACACTGCCTGCTGGTGTCTGTCTCGCTCATTTAAGGAAAAACCCTTACGTTAGCAGCACGCCCGGCGCTGTCGCTGTTGCGTCCAGCTGCCAGCATTACCGAACATCTCAATCCTCGTGTCCACCATTTTAAGCCTGAGCTCTATGAAGCTAAGAACCTTCTTCAAGCTCTAGTACCTAAACCTAGAGGCCTAGATCCACGTTTAGGCTTTGCACATAAGCATCCTAATTCCTTGGAGTGCCGAGTTCATGGAAGCACACGTTATTTTCTCAACTCTCCTCTGCCAAGCGTCACACGGGAGTTCTCTGCTATCGCTCCCGGCATGGGGCACTCTCTGAAGATTCAGCTGGCAGGAAAATACTACAATTTGCACATCAAACTCTGCTGGCAAGAAAATCCTCTGTGCCCAGATTGCAAAAGAACACTGCAACACCTCTGTTAGCTTTTTCACAATGCTAACTGCCTTCAATAACAGTCATGGGGCGGGCTCCTTCCTCACACCAGGGCACCCAACGCTTTCTGCCCTCCCCTGAATTAGGCTTCTGTTTGATTGTATCAGTCTACCTCTGCATGAGCAGTAATCAGCTGGGAGCCCTCACTTCTCATTACTGCAAATCATGATGTTCAAAGGAATAATTCACAGGCTGTGAAGTGATGCGGTGCATTAAAAAAAAAAATAATTATGTACTCTCTTAATATTCACTTTTCTTTTAGTTCACACAACCAGCCACAACTGATAACAGAGACGGTACTTATTACAAACCCATGAGGTTAGGAGCGCAACATTCCTTTCCCCTAATAAAACCATCCTAGAAAGATGGCTGCTTTGAAGATCTTCCCTCATTATTACCTTCTGGTTAATCAGTTGAAAGGCTACATTTTGGAGCACTGCAATGAGGTAAAAGGAGGAAAGTAAAATACAGGAAAGTCTTCCTGGAAAAGAAACTGTACAGGATTAAAAGAGACTGAACACTCCTTCTGTCTGTACAAATGTCCAGGTCCAGGAATGTACAGCTGCATGGAACAATAGCTCTGCAAATAAATTAACTTGACTCACAGGCACTGATAAGGCCTAACTACTCCTTTACGTGCTAACTCCTTCAAAACTAGACGACTGTAACACAATATTTACCTTATTTCCTTTGGTGGTAAAGGGTCAAACTCAACTCCTTCGCCAAAGGATAAAGGACACAATCTTGGAGGGCAACTGGGGAGAACAGGGCTGGGAGAGAACACAGAATTCTGAAAAAAAAAAAGCAAAAATAATCCCATTTATGTCACAATTCAGTATATCCTCAAGAAAACACATTCATTCAGCCCTTGGTTTCGAGCTGTCAAGGTTCATATTTACGTGCAAGAGGATCTGCTAGTCCAAGACATGCCTACAGGTGCAACCCGCAGCTCTGACTTGACACTGGGCTGCAGCATCAAAGATGCGGCAAGGTGCATTTTCTGAAGACAAAGTCCTAACTCCGGGAGCTTACTTCAGAGGAGCCACTCTGGGAAAGGAGATATACAGCCCCTCAGTGCAGCATAGCTTTCTCCAGCATTAGCTATAGTCCATTCGCTGTATGAGCTCACGTTCAATTTATAGCTAGCATTACATGAGCGTAGGAGAGCGCTCTCCTTGCCGGATTCACCAGATATCCCCACGGGCAGATCACAGCAGGAAATTATTGCAGGGCATCTCGCCACGAGCAACCTGCTCGTTTCACAGCTACACCGTGGCTACTGTTTGAAGGAAATAAACCCAACTTAATTCACACACGAAGGGAAGGATTAACTCATTCCCACTGAGCAGCCATTCACGGAGCGGCCCTGTGCTCCTCTCCTGGAAGGGCAGCGCCGCGAGCCGACACCAGCCCAGCAATGTCCCGCAGCCAGAAGGAAACCAAAGCGGCCCTGAAGGGAAGCACCCGCTTGTGTTTTTGAAGCCACCCCTGCACGTGTGCTTTAGTACCCAGGGGCGAGGGGGCTGTGAGCACCTCTCCTGTTCAACACGTGGTTCTGCTACGGCCTTTTCCGATTTCACGGCAGCAGCCCTGCAGAAATGGGATGTTTCCTCTAGATCTGTGGTTCCCAAAGTATTTGTACCCAGAGATCAGCATCAACATTCAAAAATCATTTTGCAAAACACTAGCGCATCTCTAGCTGATACTGTTAACTGAACCCATAGTTTAAGATACAAACTTCCTGCTCTGGGTCACTCTCTGGAATAACCAGAGTTCATTTTCTGCTGGAATTTTCAAAGATGCGCTGCGATGCCGTCCCAATCCCTACGAGGTGCAAGAGAGACAGGGACTTCCCTTGCACCAGCAAGGACCGACCCCAAAGCTGGAGGCTTTTTAAAAGCACCCCCGGCTCCCCTGCCCCGGCACGGCCGTGGCTGCGGACGCCCGGTTCCCCGCGGGCTCCCT